GGTACCATGTAATGACTTTATATTTCTTATAAGTCTTGTGATTGATTATTGTCAAGTTGGGACTGACTCATGATTGACTCTACATCTGGGAAATTGCACAGGAATTAATTGTCCATCTTTCTCTCATGAAACAGCTAGAGCATATGAACCACGTCTTAAGGTTGTCATCACAATGACTTATAACTTGGTCGCCGGAGCTCCCGTACAAGTGATAGAAAGCTGTAAATTAAAATCATATGGTATGTGAATAAATTTGAATGCACTCGGAATATCAAATGTAGTAGTCAATATTAAAGGTAAAGATATATTAATGTGGCGAGCTCTGGTGGCCTAGTGGCAGGAAGCTGCACTGTAATCCCAGAGGTGCGTAGTTCGAGTCCACCAGATGCTCTGCTGAAGAAGGAGGATCGCCGCCTGTACCAGTCAGATCCAATTTGACAGTACACACATAAAAGAAATAAATAAATAAAACAAAAAAAAAAACACAACAAAAAAACCCCAACATATATTAATGTAAACACAGATAATATCTAAAAGAATAGCTGTTGAGAACAAACAATTCTTTTTAAGAAAGAACTTACTGTATTCTCTGAATGTTCTTTACTCATATTGGGGAGGGCTGAGAACAAGAAGTACCATGCATAGTCATCGTCTGATTTCAAGGAGGTTATAATTTTCATTGAGAAAAAGAGCATATGAAGTTAAATGACAAAGATGCTGTTAAAAGTACAAAATAAGAATTTAAGGAACATAAAACAAAAAAAAGCACAATTAAAAAGAAAATTTTATTAAAGAAAAGAATTTAAGGAACATAAAACAAAAAAAAGCACAATTAAAAAGAAAATTTTATTAAAGAAAAGAATTTAAGGAACATAAAGGTTAATGAAATGGATAAAAATACATTACGGAATATGAGAAGGAAAGAATATTGATGGTAAATTAGAAAAGCCAGACAAAGTTGTGTGTAGGGGGAACATTTATTTTGTTAGAAATTCAATGTTTAGTTTTTATAATGGATAAAATGCCATGGACAATACATATGTAAATAATAGACCTCAAGGGAAAGTCCCACTACTGCCTGGGAAATTTTCTAACTGATGAATCATCAAAGAAACCAAGAGAAGGAGGGAGGGCTGGTAATATGAGCTAGTTGTTCATTCAGTAAACTCAGGACATGTTCGTCATCTCTGCTCTAAACTGAGAGCTGGAGACGGCCTTAAACAGGAAACAGGAACTTATTGCATAGCCTAAAAATGGACCAGGCCCTTTGAAGTAGGAAGAGATGTCCAGTTTGCTCCTGGCCAAATGGTCAGTCATGATTCTGAAGTTTCAGATAAAAGCAGATTTGTTTCTAAAACTCTGTGGACATCAGTGGCTCTTTCAGTCATCTTATCATTCAATAAACAACTATTAGTAGTGCCTGCAGGAGGTACAGAATAACAACAACAACAGAAGAAGAGCTCTACCTTTGTAGGGAGAGGAAACAGGTAAGTTAGCAGGTATAGGAAGAAATATTAAATGACAAAGGGATGGAGAGGAGCTTCAAAGTTCCCTGTTGACTTTAAACCAGCAGTCTATGTAGAACTGATTTCCCCTATATAGTTAACTAACCCTTTCTTTTAACTATTTAAACTCTCCCTTTTCCCTCCATAGTTGGTTAATCCTTTCTTTCAATCATCTAAATTCTACTTTCACCACCAGCTCCTAACCTTGATGCCCTTTCTTACATAATCTTTCTTTTATATATAAATATATATCTTACTAGATCTACCCAAAAATTTCACACAAATGTTTGCAGTACTATTCATAACAGCCAAGAAGTGGGAATAACATTACTAACTGATAATGGATAATGGATACTATTCAACAATGAAAACATATGAAGAGCTTGTGTACATGACACCATACACAAAAATTATGCTAAGCAGAAGAAGCCTGTGCAGCTCAGGAATTAGATCATCAGACTTCTGTTTTGAGGGTCCAGGGTTCAAGTCCCTGTTTGGGTGCTTGTGCTTTCTAGAAAGCTCTAGTAACCTAGGGGTAAAGAATGCACTACCAACTCAAAGACACCAACATCTCCATGGGGGATAGATGGGCAATCTCCTTTTGTGAATCTACTGCCTCCAAAAGTCCACTGGAGTTGGCTATGGGTTGGTTCTGTCTTAAAGCTATAAGACAACAACAACAGGGAATGTCCAGAGTAACTTAAGTCTGTAAGGGCAAAAAGGCCGTTAATGGCTGTTCAGGCTGCAGCAGAGGAGGTGAGTAAAGGAAATAATAACTAATGGGCACCGGGGCTTCTTTGTGAGGTAATGAAAATGCTCTACAACTGACTGTGGTGAGACTGGCCTTATCTAGGAATATACTGAAAATCACTGAATTGTACATGTTGAATGGGTGGATTTTATGGCAATTGAATTATATCTCCTCATAGTTCTTTTTTAAAAGTCCATCTACTAGAAATAGGGTAAACTACAAAGGTTAATGATACATGCTTAATATTTTAGAATATGTTTGAAGAGCAAATTGTTGATGTTGTTAGGTGAGCCATCTACCGACTCACAGTAACCCTACAAACAACAGGTCTGGACCTTGCCTTATTTTGCAGTGTCCTTTCCATCTCCAATATACTCTGGCTCATTGTTACAGTCACTATGTCAATCCACGTAAGGAAAGGGATCTAATTTTATCCTTGAGAAACTGTGAGTGGGAAAAAGTCCATGCTAATTATTGTTCTGATATCAAACTTTTATGGAATAGGACAAAAAGAGATAAATCGGTATGTCATAGGTAAGGTAAGGTTTTGATATATAAAACAAGATGTTAAAAGTATAAGCAGCATAAAGTATAAAAGTATTAAAAAGGAAGTCTTCTAAAATGTATGTTAAAAAATGAATTTATTTACTATTTTTTCACCAACCCATAGAAGGGGTAAATAAATCTCCTTCATTAAATGTAATTAAATGTTATTCAAGTAAAGGAAAGGTAAATAGTGGAGATGAAAAAACACATTTCAAGTAAATTTAAGTGAGCAAATTGGTTATAGCTAAATTTTAACATAAGTAACTATCAAGTAATTAATTAAGAAATTATTTCCTATTATACATATTAAAAGTAACTTGAGTTATTGGTGAAAAATCAGAAAAGCTAACTTAGAGTCATTAAGAAATCCTTGTTATCACGGATAAAAACAATCATCTAATTTAACTTCAATATTTGAAAAACAAATTCAATGGGTTACTAATGCAAAGGAAAAAAAGGAGAGAGAAAGGGAGAGATAAGAAAAAAAAGGAAAGAAGAAATAGAAGGAAAAGAAAAAGGCGAAAAAGAAGAACTAAAGAAAGGGCAGAAGGGAAGGAGGAAGTGAGGACAGGAAGAAAACCATGTACATTATTCTTCAGTGGTTGGGTATGTAGTTCTCTTCTTTTGGATATATTTTTGTTGTTGTTATATGCATTATGGATATATAGTACTACTTATTAATAAATCTACCATAGTAAAAAATTTTTAAAGAAGTTCTCAAGATGGAAAAACCAACTCAAGGTGGATCATGGACCTAAGACTAAAACCAAGGACTATAAGCTTCATTAAAGGAAAACCTGGAAGAATGCTGCAAGTCCTAATCCACAACATAAACGGTCTTCCAACTATCCTGAAAAACCTACAACCAGGAGAAGATAAAATAGAAGAATGGGATCTTCTAAGAATCAAATCCCTATGTACATCCAAAAACTTCTCCAACAGAGTAAAAAGGGAAGCCACAGACTGGGAAAAATATTTGGTAATGACATATCAAATAAGGAACTTATATCCAGAATCTATAAAATAGTTGAGCACCACAACAAGATAAAGGTAAATAATCCAATAGAAAAATGGGTACGAGATATGAACAGACACTTCACTATAGAAGACATTCAGATGGCCAACAAGCACATGAAGAAATGTACAAAATTCCTATCTCTAAAAGAGATGCAAATCAAAACAACTATGAGGTATCATTTCACCCTAGTCAGAATAGCAAAATTTAACAGAAAAGCAAGCAACAAATGCTGGCAAGGTTGTGGAGAAACTAGAACCCTTATTCACTGTTGATGGGAGTGTAAAATGGTGCAACCACTGTGGAAGGCAGTATGGCACTTTCTGAAAAAGTTGCAAATAGAGATACTATTTGACCCAGTAATTCCACTACTGGGAATATACCCCAAAGAGACCATAACTGACATCCAAGCAGATATATGCACACCCATGTTTATCATGGCTCTGTTCACAATAGCAAGGAGTTGGAAACAACCTAAGTGCCCATCAACAAATGAATGGAAGAGAAGCTGTGGTATATTCACACAATGGAATATTACACTGCATTGAAAAACAAGGAACTCATGCAATATCATTCAAAATGGGTGACTCTGGAGGACATTATGCTGAGTGAAGTATCTCAGTCACAAAAGCACAAATACTGCATGGTGCCACTGTTGTAAAACAGGACTGACCTCAGGGTTGGGGGGAGACTGAGAAAGATGGGTTCTATAATGTATACTGCATTTAAAGAGATAAAGGAGAAAACTGTTTAAAAGGGACATGTGATTAGATGTTTTTGTTGTGACAGAGCGGAGGCTGCATAGAGTGGAGCTGGGGGGAGGGATTATAAAACAATGAAAGAATTTTTCTTTTACTTTTCCAAGAGGGTAGTGTACTAGGGGGGAGGGTTGAGAGGGGAGAAAAATGCATCAATGAATGAATGGAAATCCAAAGTCTCAGTAAATTTTCATTGAAATTACTGATAATTTATTTTTTTAAAAAAGGAAAAAATAAATTCTCAAGATGGAAAACTTATTCATTGTTGCAGGTTATGTTTTGGAACCATAATAAATTATTTGATGTACATTTTAGCTAAAATTGACATAGTAAATTTCAGCATTATATTTGCTGCTTTTACACTTACATTAGTTTAAAGAAGTGCATTAATTCAAAGGAGAAATTAAATCATTGGTGGTATTTACCTCCTTTTTCTGACCTATTATAAAGTGTCATACTTGTTCGATTATCTTCAATCCATTTAATTGGAATATTCCATGTGTAACTAAAAAAATAATAAAACAAAGAATTATTGATTATTCTGAAAACTAAAGAAGAAAAAGGCATAGATTAGCACATTTTACTTGCAGATGATCATCCTACATAAATTATACAATATAGTTAATAACTTTCTTTAGTTATGAGGATGAGCCATGTAACTGCTCTCAATACAAATAAGTAAATGTAAAACTTTTAACCATATAAATTAGCTAACGAAGAAAATAACTTTAATTAAATGTCTGTAGATTTTAGAAGACATTGCATAATTTAATTAACATAAATACTTCGCACACTTACTCGCATATATCCTAACATTCCATGTTCTCCTTTAAGGAACACAAAGCACTTTTAGAATTCAGAAATACTCTGTGATACTACGAAGGAAATTACTTATTTTATAAATTCTATTAACTTTATACTAATGCCACCATTCTCCAAGCTTCACATTGTCTTCTCTACGTAAATATCTCTTATTTAGAATCATAAATCATGAAGTTGTAGTTGCAAAAGGTAAATCATCAAGTAAGTATGTTTCAGGGATTTTA